GAGTGTCAGCAGCGGGCGGAAAATCGGCTTCATGGGTTTGAAGCTGACGCATGGCAGCCGGGCTGTGGCATGTCCCTCATCGGTATGGGCGGCTGTGGTGGCCGGGCCTCCACCAGCCACAAGGTTTGGCCAAGCTCCTGTCGGAGCTGAGCGATGGGCTCTGCGTTCCCATGCTGCCGAATGTCCAAAGACACTGAGCATAGCTGTACCCCGCCACGCTGAGAGCTGTGCTCCCTCCCTGCCACCTCAACGCCCTTTTAGACCGCTGTAGCTCCATCCAGGAGGTTTCTGTCAGACACGTTCAGCTCACACAGCGCTGTGAGGAAAGGACTTTTAGCCCTTTGTTGAAAAAGGGATCCCAGCAGCGGCTCTGCACAGCTCCACTCCCTGTACTTGCTCCCCTGAGCACGTTGTGTGAGATTTTCAGTTGGCTTCTGAGTTGTCTCTCCACACCTGGACGTGTCATGAAAAGAAATAGCTTCATTTCAATGGAACAGATTCAGCTAAAGATCTGTGCATTGTTTACATTGCAAGAGGTCTTTATTTTTATCATTATTATTTATTTACTGACACTAGTAATTCAAAGCCTTCTGAGTTTACTGCAGGCTGGCATATGAAGTGCAATGAGGTGGCTCGCAGGCTGGAGGAATTATCTTCCAGTACTTTGGGGGTGATGTTGTTTGTTCACGTGTTTGTCATTATCTGGTATCTGAATATTTCACAGTCTGGTATCTGAATGTTTCACAGTGGGATAAGGAATTTTCAATATTTTTAAAGACTTATAGAACAAAATACTTTATTTTTCTCTGATATAGTAGCATTTCAACTGTCCTGTGTAGTACGTATTTAAGTTTGCTGGAACAAGAACTAGGTAACATGCAGTGTACTGAGCCTTGTTCCTGCAATTTTTTTTTAGTCATTAGTGGATTTTAGGAACAGAAAAGTATAGAATACTTATTAGGACCAAGGCATGAATGACTTCCAACATAACATCATTGAGATTCAACTATCTTTGTAGCATTTTGTGCTGACAGGAAAAAACAGGACTGTAAATTTCTAAACAAAAGCATGTTTGTGAAAAGCTTCTGACCTTTCTGAGAATGTAAAGAATTTCCTCTAAGCTCTGTATTACCACAAGTCCCGTTCTTCTCCATTGCAGGTGGACATACTTCTGATTTTAATTCAGCTTTACAGTATAATTCTCTCCCACAATGGCAGACATGTAATGCACAAGCTATAAGCAAGGATTCAGCAGTTGTGTGGTTCCATAAAAAGTCTTTCTGACCAGCAGTCAGAAAGCTCAAGAACAATACAATTTTTAAAATTATGAAAGTAAAGCTTTTTGGAGAGAACATTAATTTACCTGTTTTGATGTCAAACAGTTCTAGTACAAGGTAAAAAGACATTTCTTACCAAAAAAAATGTAATCTGGGCACAAAATTACAGTGTACTTCATCCCAGTAACTCACCCCTGAATCCCAAGACCTAAGCATCAGTAAAAATAAAATAAAATAAATAAATAGAGAATGTCTTAGAGCTCCATAAATCTTCCATCCCCTTCTAATGGTTTTACCCCAGGAGGGCCCAATTTAATCCATAAAATGTGGATTTTCACTGATTCTGTTAGTAAAGTACATAAAACTTTCCATCAAGGGCATACAATGACCTTTAGTATGATGTCAAAAATACTTTGATGTAAAATGTCTAGTTAATATTCAGTAACACTCTAGATTAGGAAAAGACAGTATGAGGAAGTTAAAGTTTGGAATCAATCTTTTATAAGGAGACAATCAACATTGTAAGGGCTCAAATGAAACAGAAAGAAAGTGACAAAAGCTTTTTAAAGAGCTTTAAATGGCATCTTAAACAGCTGCACCAAATCGCTCCTTTCTGCGAGATTACTGTAAAGCAAAGGTACCTTTCAAAGCAAAAAACTTGCTGGCAAAGGACAGCCTTCTGCTGTGCGAGATCTTCTCAAGTGTGAAAACTCCTTGGCTTCATCTTGAATGAAAAGTGAAACATGAGGAGCATCGATAAAAAAATAGAAGCAGTGGTTTCTGGTTATGGATTGTTTTCCTCCTTCATCTGCTAATTCCAGTCCTGCATTTTACTGAATTTATTCTTCCTGCCCTTCTTCACTGTTGTTGCCTTGGAATAAAATATTTTATATCAGAAATGAGTCAGATGGCCTGCCATCTGCTTCCTCCACCTTGAAGTACACTGAAGTATATAGTATCCTTAGACTCAAGCTGTGACCTCAGTGTAAACTGAAATGTTACTTGTATCCGGTCAGGCTTGTTCTGTGATTATTGTATATTGCATATCTCTTTGTCCTCCCTTGAACCTATGCAGCAGTTACTGCTGGGGGAATGTTCATCTATCACTTTCTGTTGCCGATTCTTGCACTGAACCAGGCAGAAGTGGGATGATGTACATAATGATGCCCTTTTGCTGTTTGCTCCGTGAGTGGGACAGATTCCATTTGTATTTCAACAAGTGAAGAGAACATTATGTTCTGTATTTCAGTTATTCAGCTGAGGCTTTATAGGACAGGATACGATGATTTGTTACCCTAAGTACTATTATCTACTTGATACATGGTAGTATTAAGGTAGGTGAAATAATAAAACCCCTCTTTTACACCTTCAGTTACTCATGGCTGGGTCTCTCCATTGATGTCTGCTCTGCTGTTTGCAGTCATGTTATACAAACTCTTTTTCTGGACCCTGTTTTTCACACAGCACATTACTTGTCTATTCCCAAAGCTTATTTGGGCTGCAGTCACTCCTTTCAGACTGCATACAGAAATAGTCTTCTTCAGTCTGCAGTCTCTTTGTTTTTCCCTTGCTAACTGAATATCATCAGGAAAGAATATATTGCTGCTGTTAAGATGATGGAGAAATGCAGTAAGCATTCCCAGGCAGTGCATTTTCTGTTATTACTAAAAGTTGAATTAGGGTGCAGTGGAGTCCAGGAAATCTGAGTGACTCATAGAGCTGATATTCTATCTTTGCTGTTTTCCACTTGAAACAGTTGTCAGAAGTTTCTGGTTTCATGAGATATTTTGCAAATGACACACTTTTTATTGGCTTGCTTGCGGATATTTTTTCTTGTGTTGTAATAGCAGGCAATTCTTGGACTATTGATTAGTAATTGCATCGATATCTATACCGTAAGTTTCAATGACAATGGCTGTAATGCTACAGACTGTTCATTTGGGCTTAGTCCTAGCTAGGGCAAATTGTCCTGATGATAACTTCCTTAGTCAATAGCTTAATGAACTTTTATTTTGCATTTTAATACTCTGAGCAAGCCTGCAAATCTTTAGTCTGTCTTTTTTTATGAGAGGCAAATTTCCGCGTTATTTTAAAGTGGTTAAAAAAACAAGGCCTTGCTCAAATTTTGCAAGGGTTGACATTTATTTGAAAAATCATTTTATTTCAGAGGAGAAATTACTTGGGCATTTTGTTTTCTTATTATTTATTACAGTGGTTACTTCTGTTGTATTCTTTGCTCTACCGTAAATGCACATTTCATCTTTGCTGTTGGTGAGGTTGACAGTTCCTGATGTTCATTCTCCTTTCTATACCTCACTGTGCAACTAGTTCTTCCTGTGGTGATTCTCCAAGCTGGTAAAGGATAACTGAAAACTGCTACAGCTAGAGATTATGACCTGTCTGTTTGTAAATGAGATTTTAAGGTTAGCACAGAAATGGCCTTGTATGCTACTCAACAGCAGTTTACACCATATTTATGTACATAAAGAAAAACTACGTTTCCTGACAATTGTTCTCCTCTTTAGGAGTGCTGAGTGAATCACAAGCCTTTCATAGGTTTTCTGGCTTGCAGTATGCTCTTTCTGCACTAATGCTGCTTCCCCAAGTACCTTATTGCATATTCCTGGTGACAGATATTTATTTTTAGCTTGAAAAATCTTCTTCCACCTTTAGAAGAGAGTTTTCTAAATTGATACCCGTTACACTGCTATAGGGCAGCAA